GGGGGGGGGGGGGGGGAATATCCGAAATATACGCACAAGAGTATAGGAGATTCTAAAGCAAACGGATACCTCCCTCCTCACCAATGCGAATGCGTCAGGGAATCCGTAGAGACCTAGCCATTGCAAGTATGTAAATTGTGGGTTTTCATCGGTGAGTAGAGACGTGAATAATTTAGTGAGTTAGAAAATGAAAAGGAATAAAAATGAATGAGAGATTCTTAGCATGCTCTCCACCCTCTTTTTCTTTTCTTTTCTTTTCTTTTCTTTTTTTTTTTTGAGGCTGGGTTCAGAGATGGGGAAAAGGGTGAGCCTTTTTCAAAAAGCACAATATACATATATGTTCTCCATACGACCAGTCTCGGTTATTAACACTGCTTAATTATATTGATTTATTCTGGTTTCCCTATTGATGAATAGATCTCTTGTCTATAGTAAACTAGACTGGGAGAGCTAATTATATATATATATGTGTGTGTGTCTGTGCGTATGTAGTATGATTCAAAATATCAGAATGGAATCAAATTTGATATCGATTAAAATTGATTAAAATGAAGAAACTGAAAGAAAAACAAAGGAGGAAATAGGTTCCTCAAAAACAAGCCAGGCACCAGTTAAGCAGTTTCAGTCCAAGGAGGATTAATCAAAGTCGACCAGCAACGATACGAATAAATGAATAATAACAAAAATGAAAAATAAAATAAGGCAACTCGGTTTGAGATTTCCATTCGCGTGCTATTGCTAGAAGAGTACCAGTAGTAAAGTTAAGTTATGTAGCTTTGAGAGCAGGAACAGGAGGGGAAATTTGAAGAAAAGAAATACAACAACAACAGCAAGAAGAATATCTGATAGGATTCGTGTATAAAGTAACCCCAAACCGAGGTCGGAGGAGGGAATTAAAGTAAGCGGATAGCCAGAGATTTCATAATTGAGGGAGTAGAAGAGGCAAGGGCAGAGTGCAAGTATGAGTTAAATTGGATGGTTTGGATGGGAGGATGGCGGAAAGGTGGAGTAGATGTGAGATTTTTAAATACAACCGAATGGGGACGATGGGGAGGGTTTAAGGGTGGGTAAGTGATGGAAGTTATAGGGAGAATTTCCACAGGAAGAAGCCAAGGAAAAGAAAGAACGGGCCGCGAGATTTTTGTCCGCTTCTTTCTTTTCTTTGCTTTTTCAATTATCGTCACCCTCGTCAGGTTGCTCAAACAGGAAATTCGCCGCTAGCTCCTCATTTTTATCGCAGGCGAAGTAAGCTTGGATGACAGAGTCTCGAGGGAATCCTAGACGACAGAGCTGCAAAGAAAAAGAATCCACATTAAGTTTAAAAGAGCCCCTCCCATTGGCCCTATGAATTTATGTGAACGTAACGAAAGAGAAGGTG